TACCACCCTGCCCTTGGCGGCGGGACTGTGACAAACTATCTTGCGCCGACCCTAGTGTAATTTCACCATGGCCCCGGGTATGGTCTATAAATATCCCAGGGCGTCTGTGTAAGAGACAAGGTTTTTTGGGGCAATTAAATGATCTATTAATCCGCATTTATGCTTTGTATCCCTTACAGGACCCCTTCGCCCAAGCGTCTGCACCTTCTTATATTTGTCTGTCTTTCCACCGGTGAGAAACCCTCGACCTCTAACCGCGCATCCTTAGCGAGGGTGGGAGATTAGGAGTGACCCCACAAATAAAAGAAAGAAGATCCGAACGCGAAAACCTCCATGATGACCGTCTAACAATCTGCTGCATCCATTCTTGAGGTTTTCGCGAAGTTTTTTATTATTATGACATCACATATGTGATGGATCTCAATGTGCATGTTGGATGAAATTTCTTTATTTTTAACGTGGCATATGTAAATGTGAAACATGTATACTTCATTCAATTATATATGACTTTCCTTGGCCCAAACATGATTATTTGCTGTAGCGATTATATGAGGTGCATCATACATATGTAACATTTTCTTTTTTGTTTTTCAAAAAAACATTTGTTGATGGCACGTTAAGGAGCGAACAGATAATTTCTAAATGTTATATTTTATCTTGTCAAATCTTTCGATTTAGAAAAATCAATAGCTCAGATTCGCTTGACCTCTTATCTCATTTTTCTATCTTATAATAGGACATACTTCCTCCGTCCTGAAATATAGTGCATTATGACTTTTAAAATTTGTACTAAAATATAGTACATTCTATGCAATGATTATGTCTAGATTTGGCAAAAAGTTTGTTAAAAAGAAAACCATAATTTGAGGAGAAACTCCTTAATTAGAATAATTCATGAGTACATGCATCACTTGAGAGTTCCCTTAAGTTGTCTTAAAATTTTTAAAATGTACAATATTACATAATGAAGAAGTAAGTGACACTATTTTATTAACTAAATCTAAAGTTTATACTTGGAAATGACCGTGCAAGTTGCAACGGATATGATCCACTAATTACCTTGGGCGTGTGAACATAACAGGTTGAGAAGGGCGCACGCTCTGCCCTGCGTCGCTTCAAACTTTATGAGTGGGAACAAGGAAAAGAGGAGAAAGCACCGAGTGTTCTGTTCGCTTGTTTATAAGCTATACTTTTTTAGTTAACGAATAGTATTTTTCTCTTATAACAAATTAGTCAACCATATTTTTAGTCATGATTTATCGGACGAACAGGACAGAGATTCTCTGCAATCTGCACTACTACTGCAAACTTTAATTCTATGCAGCAGCGGGAACAACGAGGAAAGTGGGAGCCCCACCAATGATCAAGGAAAAGAATCTCTATGGCCGCTACGCTAGTGCCGTTCACACACGGATGTGGCCTACGCATCTTGACTTGACATGAGAACGCGGATCAATGGAACGCTGATGAGAACTTAACCGAATCCACTTTTGTGGTGCTTAATCAGGCACCGTTGGGCAAGGCTCTAGTTCACTAGTAAAGTCAGGTGAAACCATCATTTTTTCTTCTTCTTCCCACTCCAAAGCTATGTGAGAGCATATTTTTAGGGCCTTCCAAAGGAACCATTTTATTTTACCCCGTTTGGCATAAAACAGCTCTAAATGGCTCTTGAAGTCGATGAAGAAGCCCTACCAAACAGGGCCTTAGTCAAAAGCTGACGATTCAATTTTGGAACTCGGCAACACTGACTTGGTGACCCTTTTCGAATTGGAAACAAACAACTATGCACACTTCTGTGTTCGTTCTGGACAGTTTCGGACCGTGACTGTATTGGACACAGTTTCGAACCATGGTCACTCTCTCAAACTAACATGGCCACTGGAAATGTGCTTAGGCTCTGTTCGGCGGGACTTATTTTGGCTCCGACTCATTTGTATAGCTGATTTGTTGTGAGAGAAAAACACTGTTTTCTAGTTGGCTAATTCTGGCTGATAAGCTCAAGCGAACAGAGCCTTAAATGTCAAAATACAAGTGATAAATAGGTCAGATTGAGTCAAAAGCCAAGTCAAAGAGGAATAAACTGCATTTCTCAAGTGGAGCGTTCACAAGCTTTTGTTGCTCAAGATCATCTAGTTACAAAACAGCTTCACTCACCCGGAAAACAAAAAGTAAAGAAGAACAAGCCCTCGCGCCTCGGCCATTTCGACAAAATCCTTGGGGAAATCTTAATAAATATCATGTTATGAGCTTGTGTGCAATAGCCCGCGCATGTGTTAGCCAAATTTACCGGACATGACACATCTAAAATTATAACTGTATAAGCAGTCTTGCAAGTACTATTACTACCTAGTTTCTTTCAGTATAGGCGTCTATGCTACCGTCGAACACATACTTGCACCACTAATGCCAAGGAAATTAATGTATCTCTAACATCATGCCTAACTTCATGGTAACAATAAAAATCCAGTAAGACTACTTCATATGGTATCAAATAAGCTCTGATTTAATATATATGTCTAGGGGAACTGCATTATATGACAAACATACATTTGCCATGTATGGATACGTAGGGCCTGTTTGGATGGGGTGACCCCATTTAGTCGCTTTTAGCCCCTAAAGACCCAAACAGTGTGACTAAACCAATTAGTCCATTAGTCTTTTGGGGTGATTAAAAGGGACTAAACCAGCAAAAAAGACACCCCTGCCCCTCATTAATGCACTCGTGGGCCAGGGCGCAGCGGCCTGCCCACGTACACGCAGCGTGGCTGCCCTCGGCGACGCGGGCTACAACAAGCGTGTGCGGGGCTCCCCTCCCAGTGTTCCCTGGCACCGCAGAGGTCGATGCGTTGCCATGGGCAAGAGCGGGCCCGCGCTCCAGGTCCAGCGGTGGCGAAGGAGGAGTTGGACTCCCTCGAGAACATTGTGTGAATTAGGGGCATTTTGGTCTTTGTATAGTAGCTTCAATGGCCATTAGCCACTCCATCCAAATAGGGTAGGGACTAAAGTTTAGTCCAGGGACTAATTGATCCAAAATGTCCGTAGTCAATGATTTGATATTTGTGGATGAATTTGTCAATCATAACTAACTATTGCTTCGTTTGTTACAACAAATCTTCACTACTAGCAAAATGATTTTAGAAGACAACCTCTCTGATTAACAGATGCGAGCATATCTAGGGATTGCCCCTATAAATGGTCAAGCGGCCTCCAGGCAAACACCTGTCTCTGTTAATCATTTATAAAGGCGAGCATCCTAAGGCGTTTGCCTCTGTTAATCATTAGTAATTTACAATAAGACGGTTGCTTTAGGTCATCCACCTTTGTAAATTGGTTAAAAGAGGTGGGTATCTTTAAGATGTTCATCTCTAAAAATCGCTATTAACAGGTCTTAAGAGATCCATCTCTCAAATAGTTGCATCAAGAATAAACTATAACTTTTTCATATGAAATCAAATGAAGACCAACCTTATATCAAAAAAGTTGTAACTCTTGACACAACCTACAAGTTTGAATTTGAGAAGATTTTGATTTGAAACTTTATAGTTTCCCAAAATAATAATATATATAAAAAGATAAACAGGGAGATATCGTGCAAGTGTGAAGGTCGTGAGTCTGCACTGCTGACTTTGTTTAGGATTAGGAAGGTGAGGTTTGGCACGTGTGGCACAAGCAGTCGGAGTGGGTTGCCACTTGCTCTGCGCGCTGTGCGCCCCTGCTCGTGGGACGGACCTGCCCTCGCCCGCGTGCCGCCCCCCGGACTCGCGTCTCCCGCGGTCCCTGCTGATGTCCGTGCCGCCGACGAGGTCTACACCGGTGACCTCTGCACCACTCGTAGCATCTTGAAAGCGCATGTTGCAAGAGTCTGTTTCAAGTATTTCAGATATTATGTTTCGACTGAAGTCAGTAGGGAAAACCCCAACCTATTTTTTATATTTTTTTTATTCTAGACTTGTTTAATTGGCTCCCACGGGGAGTCAAACCCAGGCCTGCTGGATGCTACTCAGGTGCTCTATTGCAAAAGTAGATCGATATATTACATATGTTGCAATGGTTGTACCCATATGTTGCAAGCTTTTATTCCTAATGTTTCATCTGTTTTTTCGGTGTATGTTGCAAGTGCGTTTGTCTGGATATTGCATATGTTTTGAAATATGTTTTATAAGTATTTTATCTAGATGTTGTGTATGTTTTTGCAATGGTTTTAATTGTTTTTCATGTGTTTTTGCAAGTGTTTCAGATGCATGTTTCAAATATTTTATCTGGCTTCAAACGTATGTTGCAAGTGTTGCATGTGAATGTTTTAAAAGTAGATCGGGTGTTGCATCTCCCTCCTCGTCTTCTGCTGTCTCGCCTCGGTATCTCCTCCTCTCGGCGCCGGTTGGGCATCCGCCGCCTTCTCCCTCTCTTATCGATGCTGGTGAGGTTTGGGGCGGTGCGGGCCTCATGTGGGCACGCAAAACTACGTGAGAAAAGGACTGCAAGCACCGGACGTCCGGGCGGTACCAAGCCTGTATTTGAGATGTTTCCCAAGGCCATGAAATCTCGGGCACTACAGCCCGGTGGCCTCGGAGAAACAAGCCTTATTATGAGAACCCCAAAGATAGGTCTGTTCTTGAATCGTCACCCGTTCACTATGAAGAAATCTGGCTTGCCTAAGATAGTCAGATGTCATATAGGAAATAAAAATCATGAGACCTTATTACTTCAGAACTGAACATGGCAGCAAGATGGTGACAGAAAAAACGTTATTGTCAAATCCAGTTCAATGACAAGGTTCGTACATAAAAAAGGAAAATCAAACTACAAAGAAACCACAATAACATGGCATACACACAACTATCAGGCACATTCTTGGTGAGGAGATCTGTTTCTTCCGGACTTATTGAAAGTAAAAACACAAGCACAAAAGCATTCAGAATTGCAGATCTACTGGAAGAATCAAACACAAAGGACTATATGCATAAATAATCAGAAGTATTGCGGTATGAAGAAGCAGGCGATCACTCGACGCGAACCTCCACCACTTCTGGCATCTTTTGGCGCATTCTACTTAGCTTCCACAGGATTTTGAAATCCTTATGCAGAGACAGTAACCACAGCTTCCTTAAAGACACAAGGGATTCAAATCCTTGAGGAACCTTATTCAGTTTCGGCAGCGCCACAATATATAAACCTTCAATATTTGGAAGAGCATCCTTCCCAACTGTCAACTGCTTGACATTGAACATGTTCTTCAGTATTAGTGTCTTTAGCTGTGGAAAGGACCCTTCAGAAATAACCATTGTCTCTGTGCTGCTCACCCTGTTAAGACTCAGATAGGTGAGGTTTGGTACATGTGGAGCAATAAGCAGTAGCGGGTCTTCCTGAAGACCAGACCAGCTTAGAGCTAGATACTTTAGGTTTTTCCCATGGCCTTGAAATATTGGGCACTGCAGTGTTCCGGCAGCCCAGCGGCCCCTGACGATCAACCTGTGGAACTGCTTGGACTGTGGGTTGAGAGTTTCCAAGTGCAGTGTCTGGTCCTCATCACTTGCATTAAGAAGCAAACAGGCAAGAAGTGGCAGCTTAGATACTGCAGGAAAAAGATCTGCAGAATGGATGGCAGTAACTTTGCAAACCCACACGCTTTTTAGTTTTCTGAGGTTGTCCAGTTGGCCTGCCAAGTCATTTGTTGCTTCCACAGTCTCCAGAGTCTGAAGTTCCACCAAGTTAGAGAGGTCCTTGGGTGGCTGTACCCCTGTGAAGTACCGGAAATCTTTCTGCTTCTCATCCCCCACTCTGTCAGCTAACAGATGCCGCAGCTTCTTGACCTTGACTATGCCTCTTGGTAGCTTCTCTATTTTTGTTTGCTTGATGTCCAGTGTCTGTAGGTTGGATAGCTTCTCAATACACTCCGGGAGCGACTTGACTCCTGTGCGCCGCAAGCCAATGTAACGTAGATTAAACAGATTCCCTATAGATTGTGGCACTTCGGTTATCTCAGAATCTTGTAGCTCAAGAACAGTAAGGTAGCTTGACTCAGAAAAGATTGAGGCTAGCATGTGAGCGGATGTAACACCATCAAGTGAAAATACAGTGCGAAGGTGTGGAAATTTCACTCTTGGTGCATCACTTCCATTCCATCCACACAATGATAGTCGGCGCACTTCCCGGTCCATATTTATCACTGCAGCCTGATCGCTTGCAGAGCCAAACTTTTCATCTCTAGCTATTGAAAGAGCCAGGTCACGCACAATGTCATGCATCTTACATGTGTTCACCCTACCAAGCTCATCATACTCTTCAACTTGCAACAAATTCCTAGTAATGAGCTCCACCAGAATTAGTTCAGCCACATCCTCCAGTGTGTTGTTTTCGTTGGTCACTGCAAATCCTTCAGCAACCCACTACCTGACAAGGCTCTCTCTCGACATGATGCAATCTTCTGGAAATAGGCTGCAGTACAGGAAACAATTTCTGAGGTTCCCTGGTAAATCATTGTAGCTAAGCTTCAAAATTGCCTGCACATTGTCTGGTTTAGCTAGCTCAACCCGGAACTGATTGTACATTTGATTCCAGGCATGTTTAGTTGGTTTCTTGGAGGACATGAGGCTGCCCATAGATATAAGTGCCAATGGCAAGCCCTTACACCTTTCTACTATGGAAGCAGCCACATCCTCAAGCTCTTGGGGACACTCAGCCGTGTTTTTAAAGGCTCTTCTACAGAAGAGGTCGAGTGCATGGGAACGTCCCAAAGGCTGGAGCTGAAGATGGCATCCTGAAGATGCAAGAGATGCAACGTCTTCTCTCCGTGTTGTGATGATGACACAGCTTGCTCGAAGAGTATTGAAAATGTCTTCCATCATTTGATGGTACACTTCCATGTTCCAAACATCATCCAAGACAAACAAACATTTTCTGGTACCTAGGACATTCTTAATTTCTTCTCTCAGCTTGTAGGCATCCATACTTTCGATGCTATCTGATGGCTTATATGTGTCCTTCCCAATCTCTCTGAGTAGTTCTCTCAGCAAACCAACTATTGTGTAGGTCTGTGACACAGTGATCCGGGCATTGACAGGGAACTCGCTCTTCATATGCTCATAAACATTCATGACCAGAGTGGTCTTTCCCAATCCACCCATACCCGACACCGTTATCACTTTGTTGTTTGGCTCATTGCTATGAAGCCATCCAATCAACTTTGCCTGATTCAATGCAATTCCCACGAGATCTTCATCTTGAATAAGCTCTGGCAAGAAGGTTTGGGATCCTTGTCGAACAATTACAGGGCTTGCTGGAACTTGGAGAGCAGGGAAATAGTCCTTCTGCAGTTGTTTTACTTGCTCAATCTCACCCTTTATACGAACCACCTCATCAGCAATATCACTGAAAATTTTGGCATTTTGTGCTCCTTTGATGAACCACATCAACGATCCTTCTTCCTGCAGCTTAAAAGCGTGATATGAGTATTTATCCATTACATCTTCCACATGGAAGGCCACCTTTCTCAGCTCCCCAATCCATCCCTTGACCACAGTGATGCTGAGATTTGTGGTATCCAAATCTTGTATTACATTTCTCATCATATTCAATTCTCTCTCAATGTGCCTTATATTTTCTGGTAGCTCCCTCAGATTAGTTGCCTTTTTAGATGCTTCAGCGATGACGAATTTGATGACTTCATCTCCTAAAACGGTACCAATTTTCGAGAGAGCAGTTAGCAGTGCTTCTGCCATTAGTTCAGTTCTGCACAATCAAAGCATGGAGCTTGATTAGTTCAAGATAATGTACGCAATCTATTTTACTTAGATGTTTCAGACCTGTCCGCACATGTTAACAAAAAGCACACAATATCAACCGTTCTTAATAGATTATAGATTCAATAATAGATAACAGCCCCCATTGATTACTAATGGCTTGTTTTGAACAATGTACAATAAGTTTTGTCGCGTTCCAATTAATGCATAGGGTAAAAAATAAATTTTAGTGCAGATGCTATTCCTTTCTTTTAAAGAGCACAGATGTAATTCTTTCCTAAAAGCATCTCCAAGAGGCTCTCTACATGGTTCACTATTACAAAATTTATAAAATAAACCAAAAAATCAGGCTCCAATAAACTCTAATCCACTCCATCTTTTCTATTCTCCAAATCCACCATTCTCGCTCTCCACTAATGTAGAGGCCACATCACTCTCTAAATTCAATATAAGGCAGTCCTCAACATGCATGCAAAATGCTGAGCCATTTATTTCATGGTATATGCAACGAAGTTAAAAATTTCAAAAATCCAAAGTAGAAGTATATGTACAAAACACAATTTTGTATGCATAGCACAGAAGATAATGTATAGAGTATCGAATATCTTCTACCTAGTCCAACTAGGATTTGGCATCTAAACTGACTGAAGTCTCCATTAAAAACATGCATGTATATAAAAATGCATATACCAATTCAAAATTTAGAACTAAATTTTAATATTTTGTTACATTTTGGACTCCACACAATTATCAGAGCATGGATTAGCATGTAAGATATTCTTTCACAAGCTATCTATCATATCAAAAGATATATTTCTTGTACCTGGATGTAAATAATATGTTTCCATCAGTTAATAGTAATCTTACTATTACATAATGGAGGACCCAAAAGAGGCTCCACATTAATTCTTTTTTAGAAGCACCAAGGCTCAACATTAATTCACATGAGGCAAGTTATCAAAAAAAAAAAAAGTTAATAGTTGGAGCGGAAGCAGGGATTCCAAAACATAATGGAGCACCGTACCTTAAAATGTCCATTGCCACATACATTAGCTATCTCACTAACAAAGTAAAACAAAACATGTAATTAGTTGATTTCTGTGTACCATGCTAGCTTACTGTATGTCCGAGCCCAACCCATGTCAAATATATAGCAAGTTGTACATACAAGAAAGAAAAAAAAAGAAAGAAAACTTACTAAGCTTCGCAATCTGATGTATTTAACCCGAAGGCAAAAACTGAAATTGGCAGAAAGTTTCTACCCAAACAAATCAAGCAACTCACACCAATTTGGAGGAGATAAGATGAACGGGGTGTGCTCACCTTGGATGAAGCTGCGGTCAGCTGAGCGCGGGCCGTCGCACTTGCTGGTCTCCTGTAGGCCGAGCCGCCGGAGCCCGTAGTGGTAAAGCTCCAGAGATTGGTGGGTGGAGGAGGGAGGAGATGGACACTGGAGTGGGAGAGCGCGGATCTGCTGCCTGGTCGATGTTTGGGACAGTAAGAGGAATCAGATAAAGTAGGCAATGACAAGCTCCGGACCAAAGCATCCATCGTGTACGTCGTGTCTGAGAGGCGCCATGAGACGTTGACTTGACTCGACCCCAAGCTGCAGTCGTCGTCAATGGCCTTACGCGGTGCCACCTACTTGAGACTGTGACAGAGAACCACTCTTGTAATGTTGCAGAAATTGCCGAGTAATTCCAAAACCAAAACCCATGCATGTTGTCAGTGGTCATAACCGCGTCCGGTTGTGTGTTGGATGAGAGCGGACCATTATCTATTTATATTAAATTATTAGCGTAGTAGCCAATGGAGCTAACTGTTCTTTACTTGATTGGTCGACTCTCTTTCTAAACAGGTCCATTTATATACTAATAGTACTACATATTTTGCCGTTGATTGATTGCATACAACTGATCTTTCAACAGGTACACATCTAGCCAGAACGGAAGTCGTCTCTCAGCCTGTACTATGTCACAAGAAATTTACACTGATTTACCCTGTCGACCCCTATTTGGTACCAAGAACAAATCCGGGATGACATCTGCTCCTTCTATTTACACGTTCAGCATTTTTTACTCTTCGCTTCCAAGTTCCAACCGCTGAGCGGTAGCAGCAAAAGCTGTTCATTTGTTATCTCCACGCGGACTCTTCAAAAGAAAGCGCACAAGAGAGGATTAGTTGCTACGTGTAATAATTTGTAAAGCATTGGATGCCTGTAATATTTGAGACTTGCAGAGCCTTTTCTATTTGCTCCCCTCCACTATTGCTTCCTAGGAATTTGTTTCAGTTCAAGCATCAAGATCTAGGCATCTAGCTGCTAGCTAGATGGAAAGCTGCTTGATAATTTGCCCTATGGAAGGCCTTTCTTTTGGATTTTCGCTGACAAAATTTAGACCGACATCAATGCAACTTTTAACTTGTTGGAGGCTGCTTGCTTCCAACGTTGGGTAGTTCGAAGCTATCTGTGGTGTTTTTGTCCAGGTTTTTTGTACCTGTAATTGCAAAGTTTCATTAAAGAGCATAAATTACACTATTCAAAGTACAGTTCAGTACCTCTATTTGTCAGAGCAACATTCTTAAGGATAAAAATTCAAAATATGTTGGACTTACACTGTCGATAAGGTTCTTAGACGATAAAGCTTCAGTGTTAGAATCGACTTTTAACCCCGTTATTACTATCTGAATTATAAGGATACCCAGACTTTTAACCCTGTTACTATCTCAATTACACAAAGCTGTCTAGCCATAGGTCTATCGGTTGTTTGTACTCCTCCTTAGCTCTAAGCTTAACTCAAGCTAATTCTTGTCTAAAGGTGACTTTGCAAGAGATCACTGATTGCTGGAGATTTCTGAAAATGACATCATTTCGTTCCCAAAAAAAAAGAAAATGACATCATTTCTAGTAGACCAAATTGCCCAGAACATTGCTACTATTATCTCCATAAATATTGGCCTCTGAATTTGAGTCTTGAACAAGGAGATCGTGTCCAGAATGTCCCCTTGTATTAAATGTGCCAAACCCAACACATTCCAGCACGACATAGCAAAAGGGCAATGCAGGAACAAGTGATGCAAAGACTCTTCGGTGTCCAAATGACAAAGCACACAGTTGGAATTTTCCAACACCATAGTTTTCCTTTTCAGAAGTTTGGGTACTAAGTCTATCTTTTAAAACTAGCCAAAAGAAAACTTTCCGCTTTGGCTGGCAATAGGAATTTCAAAGCCATGTATAAACCGGTGATATTTGCCTGGTGCCCATCAGATGCAGATAAGCTTTGTTTGATGCAAACTCAGTGGAACCCCAGATGTAAGACCATTGATCCTTGCCTTGAAGAAGTTGAGTGTCATCCAGAATGAAAATGAGTTGCTGAAACTGATCATAGGCCTGAACTGAGAGAGGGAGTGTAGACATGAAGTCTTTTCTATCTGGTCCCTTCACTGTTGCTTCCTAGGAATTTTTTCAGTTCAAGTATCAAGATCTAGCTGCTGGATGGAAAGCCATTTCCATTAAGTTGCTCCATAATTTTCCCTATGGAAGGCCTTTCTTTTGGATTTTCGCTGACACAATTTAGCCCAACATCAATGCACCTTTTAACTTGTTGGAGGCTGCTCGCTTCCACCGTTGGGTACTTAGAAGCTATCTGCGGCATTTTTGTCCAAGTTTTTTGTACCTGTAATTGCAAAGTTTCATTAAAGAGCATCAGTTACACCATTCAAAGTACGGTTCACTACCTCTATTTGTCCGAACAACATTCTTAAGGTTAAGGATAAAAAAATCAAAATATGTTAGACTTACATTGTCGATAAGGTTCTTAGATGACAAGTCTTCAGTGTTAGAATCGACTTTTAACCCTGTTACTATCTCGATTATAAGGATACCCAGACTATATATATCTGATTTGGCTGAGACTTCACCTCTGTAATAATACTCTGGAGCCATGTATCCTCTGCATTACATGAAAGTCATTGGAAGCAGTACATGCAGTATAATCCGGTTGATCATGAACAAACAGAGAATTATTCACAAATTTTCGTCAAGCTTACCTTGGTCCCACAACATTTAAAGTGAGTGTACGTGTTTGCTCTTCACCAAAGAGCCTTGACAAACCAAAATCAGCAATTTTGGGCATTAAATTATCATCCAACAATATATTTCCAGGTTTGAGATCCATGTGAATTATGGGTCTTTGCAATTCATGTAAGAACTGTAAACCCTGACAAATCCCCTGTATTATTTTGAAGCTGATGCTCCAGTTAAGCTCATGAGATTCACCTGTAGAAATAGACAAATCAGTAAGTCAACACCTAGAGAAAGTTGTAACTCATAATTTTGCATTATTACTAGCAAACTAAAACACTTTGAATGCAAAGTTACTACTATAAGTTTGGATCCATCCCCAAGATATATGGACATATTTAAGGAAATCTAATATGTAATGTGGACAAATACCTTTATAGTCTCATACTAAATTGCACTATACTTTGTGATGGGTTCAGTAAATATCTAGTGGGCACACCTTAAGCTTAAATTTAACTGATTGTTGTCATCTAAATGTAAGGAGCAGAAGGATATTTTTTCCCTGGTGTCTGAACAACTTGTTAAATAAAGCTGCCTATGACTGTTAATTCGTGTTTGATACAACAGAAGCCAATATTCCACTAAAATCAGAGAGAGAATGAGATAAAGTAGAATACCGTAAAGATACTTGTCAAGGCTTCCCCTAGGCAAATACTCATAGCAGAGTATCCTTTCTTGTGTGTCTGCAAAAACATATCTTCCATGGGATTCCACCAGTTTCTTATGTATTTCATAACAATACCCGATTAGCTTCACTATATTTCTATGATTGAGATCAATCAGACTAAATACTTCATTTGTAAATTGCTTATCCAGATTGATTTCTGGAACTACCAAAAGCCTTTTTACCGCAACAACTTCTCCATTTTGAAGCATTCCCTGATTAATTAATATCATTAGTACAGAAGAATATTCAGATAGCTTCTCCCATATTTTTTTCTCAAATTGATGGTGATGGAAAATAAAATATACCTTATAAACTACCCCAAAAGAACCTTTACCAATTTCACGGTCATTGGCAAAGTTCCCTGTGATTTCCTCTACAAAGTGTAGCTTTGGTTCCCTTGGGAATTCAGTTATCAGTTGCAGCTTCTTCTCCATGAATTTGTGTATGCGAGCTTCATGACTGATTTCTGCTTGAACATATTCCATTTTAAACAAGAGAATGCATATTTTACTCTAGAGGTAGAGATTACGACAGCAGTGGAATTATCACTATGTTTCGACAAAGCCTCTAGATTAAATCCTTAAATCCTGAAATGAATGAATGGTTATGAACCAGTTCATTTACCTTCGAGTTTACCAATTATTGATCCTACAGTAGGCCTTTTCTTTGGATCCGTCTCCACGCAGTTTAAACCAAGTTCAATGCATCTTTTTACTTGTAGCATGTGTTGTTCTTCCAGTGATGGATACTTTGATTCTATATGCGACATTTTGTCCAATTTTTAGATACCTGTGCGAATTAGAAAAATTAGATAATGAAATTGTAAAGTAAAGCAGAAAAACATCACCAACAGAGACTAAATTGTTCATACTATTACAGCATTACTTACATTATCAGTTAGTAACTTAGAAGAAATGTCTTGAATATTGAGGTCCCTCTTCAGTCCTGTCACTATTTCGAGAATAAGAACACCCAAACTGAATATGTCTGACTTCACTGATATTTCTCCTCTGTAATGGTATTCCGGGGCAATGTATCCTCTGGGTCACATTAGCATCAAATTATATTCTATCACACAAAAAATACTACTGCAACTTTGAAGAATGGAAAGATACAGAAACTAGTAAGTTCTTACATCCATCCCACAACATTTTGGGTGAGAATTCTGGTTTGTTCTTCACCAAACAACCTTGAAAGTCCAAAATCTGCAATTTTTGGCACCATGTCATCGCCCAACATTATGTTGCTAGGTTTAAGGTTCAAGTGAACTATGGCTTCACTTCGCTCCTCATGCAGAAAATGCAACCCATTGCATATCCCCAAGATTATTTTGAAGCGCATGGGCCAATCAAGTCCAGAAGATTCATCTGAAGAATAACAAAAGTAAGAAGGAATTGAAATACTTCGTAGAAAAGAGCTTCTCAATGATATCTTTGCATCTTCTGTGTTACAGAAAATGGCAAAATGTTTTATGTGCCCTGTATCATTCCTGGGTATATATAAAATAGCCATCATCATGTTAACTTTCTATCGTAGACCAAGACCATTAGGATTCTGTATTTAGACAGTCAAAAAACAAAAATAAGGAAACAATTATGCAACCAGGGATTACCATACCATAAATGTATTTGTCAAGGCTTCCATTAGACAAATATTCATAGCAGAGGAATTTTTCTGGAACATCTGAGAGAAAATGTCTGCCATTTCTCTCCACCAATTTCTTTTCTACTTGGTAACAAGAACCAAGTAACCTGACTATATTTCTGTGCTCCAGAATCTGGAGAGTGCCTGCCTCATTCTGAAACCGTCTATCATGAACTCCGGATGTCCGCACAAGCTTCTTCACAGCAACCAGTTGTCCACTCTGAAGTATGCCCTGTTTTGGTTCCATGTTAGTATATGGTTTCAACTTTTTTACTAGTTATAGTTAACTTCAAAAGAATTAAAATATGAGACAGAAATTATACCTTATAAACCACTCCAAATGCACCATGTCCAACCTCTCGTTCACTTGAGAAGTCTTTTGTGATGTTCTTTAGGAATTCTAGCTTTGGCTCCCTTGGAAATGCACTTGATATTTGTGAGTTGTCGTTTAAGCTACTTTGTCTGCTGGAATCTCCCTTCATTCCCCAACTAAACAAAAAATAACCTTCATATGAGACGATAAATCATGCGGGGCTGCACAAAACATAACATTATAAATAAACATTGCAAGCCTATGGTCAACCTACAACTCTCTTTGATTGATAGAAGTAGGGAAAGTCCAATAACTATGCCCCCTTCCATTAAGCCTATGGATACATTGCAAGCCATTGACATACAGAAGTAGATATTGATAAATAAGTGAAATCCACGAAATTTAGGGTTCATAAAATTTAAGAATTTGTGGAGAAAATTACAGATAATCGTGATTGTTTGGACTTGGGAAGAACATAAATATGCTAAGCCTACACAATACAAAGGTAGCGAATCTAAACAGATAGTTCCTCAGTCGTTTGTAAAGCAGCAATTTAATGACATAAATCCAGATGAAATGTCAATTGGGTAAAAAGAGAGGGAAAAATCACGCCCCAAAGAACATAGATTCTGCATCAGCAACACGCTGGAGAATACCTGAAGCAATGATGTCTGTTTCTGAGACAATAAGCGGGAGAGCTCCTCTCCCTGCTGATCGGACACAACCTGGAGATGAGTGGGTGTGGGAGACGAATGGCTGTAGGTTTTGGGGGAGGATGGGAGAAGCGCATCCGCAGAAGCAACTGTAACTCTTCCAATAATGCCCGTGTGAACCGTTGACTTGACTTGCTGCGAGACTGGGGAAGGGGGACTGGGGAGGGGACGGCTCAGATTGTCTGACTTACCCCATGGCCGAAGCCCTCCGTTCCTCGTCCAATGCTAAGCTAGGTAGGCGGCGGCTGAGATGTGGGCGGAGCTGGGGCGGCGGTGGCGCAGACGCAAGAAGAGCTGGGCAGCAGTCGCCCGGCGGAGCTCGGAAGGCGGCGGCGCGGATGCGGGAGAAGCTGAGGCAGCAGACCGCGCGGATGCGGGCGAAGCTCAGCAGCATCCCGCGGACGCGGTCGCGGCTGGGGCAGCGGCGGCGCGGACACTCGACCCCGGCGGCGCGGCGGTGCCCAGTCCCGCCCAAATTCCATGCGCCGTCCGTATCGCGCCTTTTTTTTTCCAGCGGCCGTGTTACGCGTGGGTCATCTAAACCTGAGCTAGGCCTTACTTGGGCCACGAAACGCAATTGGGACGTGATTTGGGAGGTGGGAAAGATGCTTTTTTATCAACCGTTGGATAGTGCTAAAAAAAATCAACCGTTGGATTTAAAAAAACGACAACCGATGTATAGCGAATGAATGACATCAGACAGACTTACCTTCTGTAAGTCAGACAATCCGAGCCGGGACGGAACATATATAGTGTTGATTTGTATGCAAAATACTTGTGAGGAGTTAACATTATTGTAGCTACTCCCACTGTTTCTAAATCTTCGTCTTTGCAAGGTTGGGGGAGCTTGTTGATGGTCACTAAATAATTAATCCAACCATCAACATGTCAGCAAAGTGAAGGTGAAATCAACATGGAAACATTTTTCTATTTTGGTCAAAACCTTGGGCTAGATTATCTTTAAAAGTATCCTCGCCCTAGCTCTTTTCCTTTACTAAAAAGCCTAATTGCTCTATCAAGTTCTTCCTCGATGAGGAACTCGGTAGAATTTTCAGTCTTTCCTCTCTCCTCAAGCTGCCAACCAATTAGAGGAAGTTCAGCCCATCATCCAAAAAAGGCAGTGGGATGAAGGTGTGTATGATACTTGGAATTATTCCTATGGCTCAACTCATTATAGTAGCAGCGAAGCCTACTCTGAGCTGATTGGAACTGTTGAAGCCTCTGGTCCTCAAGCAACCTGGGTAAGCATAAGTTTTCTTCTGACTTCTCATCAGAGATAGACTCAATACAAGGAACCTCTTAAGAAGGAAAAACAAGGTCCTTGACGATTATAGTTGTGTGTTTTGCAATTCAGGTTGTGAAGAAACAAATTTTCACCTTTTCTTTGAATGTGCTTTCCAGCCAATCATGTTGGAACACAATCTCCATTACTTGGAATTTGAATTCATAGCCCTTAGACATGATTATTGAAGCTAGAACAACCTTTGGCAGCCCACTTTTCAGAGACATCTTCATTACTGCATGATGGGTGATTTGGTCTACAAGAAATGGAGTGATCTTTTACAGTGGCCAAATTAATCTCAATGTTTGGTAGATATAGTTCAAAGAAGAACTTGGTTTGGCGTGCACCAAAGACAAGCAATCTGGAAAAGTTCCCCATCATTTGGAGAGATAGCTATAGCTAATTTCTTTCTTTTTTCATTTTTGGGCCTAGTCTTGTACTTCTTTATTGTACACCAGCGAACATGTGGGACGAAGTAGGAGCACCAGGGCCTACCTGGTCTCGACCGCACCATGGGTTGCCTGAACTGGCCAGGGCTCCTCCACGTCACCAATAATCCAGCCATTGTTGACACCTATGGTGGCACACAGACAAAAACCACAAGCGCACGGGTATCGAATTAGTTTTCACCTGAGTATTATCGAGTATCGTATCCACGGGGAACGTGTGCGTGTTGTCTATTTACTAGTTTGTCCAGGGAAAACAATCATGGTTTAAAGTATGAATAAAGAGGATTGCTATGGTTATGACCCTATGCAAAGTAAGGCTTATGATTCTAGTGTTCACTTCGGGACGCCGCTAGACGGTAAAGCACCACTAATAGATAACTTTGTCGACGCGACTACGGTCCTACTAATTTAAGAACCTGCTCAACTTGGAGTGGACTACAGAGGATAGATGGGGCTGACACCATCCACTACTACCACGCAACTAGGGAGTAGGGAGCAAACACAGGTAGCCGATAGCCTAAGCACCACGCTTATGCTAATGATTACTACTCTATCCAACTAGCAAGAATTAGAGTACTCAAAAGAACTATGAACCCGTGAACAAAAGAGCACAAAACATAGTTTAAATAGAAATCAGTTACCAGAAGTATCTCAGATGCAGACTTGGAAGAGCCTGGATCCGCCAAGGTACAAGCCATAGAGAGAGTACCGACAATCCTAATACTATCTCCAAACTCTTCCCTCCCTCTCTCTCTCTCTATTGTGTACAAAGAATAGATCCTAACTAGAGGACTAATCTCTCTTGAATGCGATCATCTGATCCTAAGATGAGGATAGGAATAATTGTGGCTTAGGGTTTCTGATTTTTAGGATGCCCTGTTGGAGGAGGTACAGGGGCATATATATAGGGGGCAACGTCAAATCTGAACCCTCGGGTCAAACCAACCTTGAGCAATGGCGTAGATTTGATCTTTAAGGCGGTGGAGAACCGACGTAGCGAGGAGAGGCTAACACGGGGGCCCATAGGGCGACCGACATGTAGGTGGGGGCGGCTAGCCCCACATGGCAGCTACTCAAGCTCTGTCTTGATGGTTTGTCTTCTGGAGTGTTCTGGAGTCTTCCCAAGTCAGTTTCATCACGGATAAACGTGATTAAATCTGACAATTGGGTCCACCTTGACGATTTTTTGGATAAACCCTGCTAAAAACACAGATTCACCAAAACTCGTGGAATTTGTTAGTTTAAACCCCTAAACCTATCTTGGTGATCATTTTCATGCATTTATACAAGTTATATTGACGGTTTATGATAAGTGTTAACTACCATCAACATCCATAAGGCAGCAACCATGCAGGAGAATCCTACTCTCTAGTTCAACGTCAATTTGATCCAAGAGCCAAAGTGGAGCTTCACTTAAATTGGAGGACCCACAATACATGTTTGGACCATGCAAAGGCAGTTACCTAGGATACCTGCCAACCACCACTAAGGATCGTCCTGGAGCGTTAGATTGAAGGTTGGTGGATCCTAAGGGTCACCCGACCCCTAGGTGGTTTTATCAACTCCATCAGGGGTGCCACCGCCTCTCCACTCCTTTACAAATTCCCCCTACTACTATAAATACAAGTGTTGGTGCCATTTATAAGATATATCATCAAAAGATCATCTCAAGGAAGCAAGTAGTTAGGCAAGTAATGGGAGTTCGAGTTGAGTCGAGCCTTGCTAAGAATCCAGAAGTAGTCTTTAGAGTCTGATATAGCTCATGTACAATTCTTCTTTTGTAAGACTTTACTTTATTAAATATATTATCTTTTTACTTTACTTAATATGGCAGAACCGCCTAATCTAATTGTCGGTGTTTCGAGTAAACACCAACGAGTAAATTTGGGTTCTTACGCGTCTGGCCCGGATGGTGTGCTAAAAAGACACAAGGTTTATACTGGTTCGGGCATAATGTCCCTACGTCCAGTTCGTGGCTACTGCTCGTGTTATTAGCACTGAAAAGTTCGTAGTAGGATTACAAACGGGCGAGAGAGGGACATGTCCCAAATCTCTGATGGAAAGGTCGAATGGACGCTGAGAGCTCGGTTGCTGCTCAACTGTGTGCTCAAGGTTCGAGACTAGTGGTTCTGCTGCGATGTAGTGTGATATGTGATGCGGTGAATCGATCCTCTTGGTGGGGTGCCCTGCTTTCCCTTTTATAGGTCAAGGGAGAGCATGGATTATAGATGGGAGAAAAGAGGAAAACAAGAGGCAAAGGAAGTCCTTCAAGGACGTCGGGTCTTCCTTTTCCTCTCGTGCGAGCCCTACTAACATGGCAGGCGGTGGTAGGGACAACCCCACGTCGGGCGCACGTCCGCTGATCCTGACAGGGCTACGCTAGGCTTCTGTCCGCTGACGATGCCATGTTCTGGCATTGTCAGCGGGTTGTCACGTCCCATCCCGCCCCGACGGGCGGCGTGGCGGACCAGCGTGCTGATCATTGACCATATAGGGAGTAGGCAGCACAGTGACCGTACGTCTGTTACTGTGGGTGATGTGAGTTTCTTTCTGGACCGTAGTGGTTATCGTGAGCTTCCGTAAGGACCCGTGCCTGAGGGAAAATGACGGCGCCCACAACACTGTAAGGCAAATGTCGGTGCCTACAACATTGTTTGGGCTCTGACATGCCTGGAAGGTTGCAAAGCACCCTTTTGGCATGGCCTAACGGTACTATCCTGCAGGTGTGCAGGGTATGGTCCTCGGTATTACGGTTGACTTGAGCGTCTTGCCTTATTTGCTCTGCCTGATTCCTAGGTCAGTACTATAGTAATGTCGTCATAGGCGTCGGGCGAGGCAAAGCCAGCCCTCAGACGTCGGGCGAGGCGGAGCCAACCCTCGGGGGTCAGGCGAGGAGGAGACAGCCCTTAGATGTCGGGCAAGCAGAGCCAGCCCTCAGACATCGGGCGAGATGGAGCTAACCCTCGGGGGTCGGGCGAGGCGGAGCTAGCCCTCAGACATCTGGCGAGGCGGAGCAAGCCCTCAGATGTTAGGCGAGGTGGAGCCAACCCTCGGGGGTCAGGCGAGGCGGAGACAGTCCTCAGACATCGGGCGAGGCGGAGTCGGCCCTCAGACATCGGGCGAGGCGGAGTCATCCCTCGGGAGTCAGCCTGAGGCATTCCCAACCCTCGGGGGTCGGACGATTGGATGAAATGGAGCCCACGGCCTTGGTGGTTGGACGAGGTGGGGTCCATCAAGAAACGTAGTCGCGTTCTTGATCGCTCTGATGAATTAGCGTTGATAGGTATCAACTCCTCCTCTTTGGGTACCCTAGTATTGGTCCCCGATAGTAGCCCCCGAGCGATTCGAGTAGAATCGTCTAGGGGATTTTTCGACTTGCCAGCGGGTGTGTGCGAGCACACCTGGTGGGTGTAGCCCTCGAGTCTGCGGAGGAGTAGAATACTCCTTTGAAGGTTTTTTTGACTT